TCTCTCTCTCTCTCTCTCTCTCTCTCTCTCTCTCTCTCTCTCTCTGTGTGTGTGTGTGTGTGTGTGTGTGTGTGTGTCTCTCTCTGTGTCTCCCCTTTGTGAGTGCTAGTGTGAATGTGCACGTGGATGTGCTTTGTAATCAATAAGCATGCCTCCTGTCCTTCACAAAGAAAAGGGCGGTGACTACGACAGTTTGCCCAGGTTACATTTGACTGATGGACAAGGACTCACCTTCTTGCCCAAAGTTAGCAATACCCTCCGCTTTGCTCACACCAACCCTGCAATCCCAGCAGTCTGTATAGTTTAGGCCCCGGAAAATAAATGCATTGTGGGTGTGGTTGTGGGTGTGTTTGCATGCGGGCAAACTAGAGAAGTTGAAGGTATTCTTATGCTGCCTTTTGGCTGCCAGGGTCTGTGTTATATAACTCCTGAAGACATTATATGGTTTCTCTCATAAAGCTCCCAGCTCCGCTGGTCCTCCCTGCAGAACTGCACGCGACAATCACTCTGCCGCTAACATCGTGTGCTGATGTTCTGATGTATGGCTTTACACTTTCCTCCGTCAGGTCGGCAGCGGATCCTTCGAGGCCAAAGCAGCCAAAAAGCTCACGGCAGCCAAAGGTTGCAAAGACTGCTGTTTTGTGTGCACCCGGTCCAAGCCTACATGGTGGATCAACAGCTTCATTACCATCAGCAGACTGTAAAGTGTTAGAGAACACAGCTCAGGGGTTTGGTGCTCAGGCTGACAACAGTGCACAGACAACAGGTCAGCATGACATGGGCGATGGTGGTAGTCGGCGGGATGCTGTTGGTGAAGGAGGTGCTGCCAAGCTGGCAAAGAAGCAAAGTGCCACGGGTAAGGATGGCGTCGTCGTTTTGAAGAAGGGTGGTCTTGGCAGCAGGGTGATTGGAAAGCAGCCAAAAGGTGCTAAAGGCAAGGATAAAGTCAAAGATCAAGGGGCAAAAGACAAGTTGGACCCCACGTTGAACGAGCCTCAAGCGACCACTTCCGCTGCTGCAGCAGGAGCGACTCTGATGACAACAGACTCCCCAGGCTCGTTTGAAGGAGAGGCAACTGCCAACCAAAATATGAGATCAGAGGGCGGCGGCCAGGATGTGTCTCATGCGCCAGAGAACAGGAGTGGAGGAGAGCATGGAGCAGGACTGAGCCGGAAGACCAAGAAAACACCGGCAAAGAGTAGAGCCAGCAAGAAAGATGGTGCGACAATCTCGCTAGGAAAGGAAGCAAAGGCCAAAAGGTTGGACAGCAGCATCGCTGTGGCAGCGCAGACGAGCCAACATGGCCCACGAAGTCCAATTGGAGGTCAACCTGGTGCCCAGGGATTCAGTGCACAAAAGCCGCAGATTAATCTGAACACGCCAGTTCAGGTGTCAGACGAGGCCAATGGAATCACAGAAGAAAACCCGCGCTGCATGCCTGCTGCTACCAGCAGTGGAGGGCAGCAAACATGCAGTCCGTCTTCGCGGCGGAGTCCGAAAGGTAGCGTTCCGAAAGGTGGTCCCATTCATCCTGGCTTTGCACAAGCCTGGGGCTCCGATGGTCGGGGAATTGCTGACTGTCATATGAGTCCGCTTCAGGCGAGTATGCGACCATGTGCGGCAAATCAACAGCAAGGAAGGAGCAGCATGTCTTGGGAGGAGTTGCTGTACTCGGATGGGTTGCACCCTTTGGACACAAATACCAGGATGCTGCAAGCTGAATCTAGGAAAAGCCCATTCGATGGCGAGGCTCTGGTTAGTCAATTGCGAAGAGGGGATATGGAGGTAAACGATCAACCACAGTCCCGTTTCCCAAACGATTATGGTGTATGTTCGTCCACAAGGCATCTGCTTGCAGGAGGCCCTTCATCACAGCTGTTGCAGGCTACTGCAGAGGGCATGAAAGTGGGAGAACAGAACCTGAGGTCATCAGCACATGCATGGCTGGGATATAATCTTCCGTCTGGGGAACGCAGCGCAGATGGGGCAATGAATCCTCCACAGCTTCAGGATGGAAGATTAGCAGCCCACGCTCTTCAGGTTTCCCAGCGAAGCACCAGCAGCAGTGTGAGTATGCTGATGCAACCGCCAAATGTGCCGTCGGCAGTGGGCATATCAGATGCGCATGCCAGATTGGGTATGAGAATGGCAGAGGCTCGCATGGCACATGACGGAGGGAGCATGGGTAATCAGGTTACTGTCTCACAGATGCAGGAAAGTGGTGCTCTGTTCCAGTCCCCTCCAAGGCTTGAAGCTTCAGGAAATCAGTTGTTTCCAAAAGTGAGCACTTCATTCTCTGCTCTTTTGTCTGAAGACGAGAACGCCATGCATCCCACCCAGTGGGGAGCTAAGCAACCGCCACCGGCACCTGCACCTTTACCACTCATGCATTCGGACAGTCCAGGCTGTGTCTCAACCGCACCGCCAGCAGCACGCCTCTTCCCCTCGTTCTCGAGAAGCTTGCAACAACAGCCATGGGAGCCCAGGTCGTCGATTGATGTAGCCGTGCCACCGTTCAATGAAGCCCGTCATGAACGCAACATGTTGTCATTTGGCGGGTCGGTCCTCATGGACCCAAGCATTTCCGTGCAGCATTCCGTTGCCCAGCCTCATTCCGTGCCGTCATCTATGTCTTCAGGGTTTGGAGCTGCCTTTTCATTTCCTACGTATCAAGGGTCCCCGGGTTCTACTGTGCCGAATGTGCTGCCACTCAGCAGCAATGCTCAGCCACCGGCTTTTGCAGGTACCAAATGTGCAGAGTTTCCCGAAGTGAGCCGGGGAATGGAGGCTGTAGAGATGCGTGATATTCGTTGGCATGCTGAGCAGACAATGGATAGTGTGCCAGATCTAATGGGATCGTCTTTGACTCCCTCGGCATTGCAAATGGGTCCTCGCAGAGGGGAGCTAACTCCATCTGAAATGCTTCCGTGGCCTGATCTGGGTCTTTCACTTGGCATGGGCAGAGGTCTGAGGCGAAGCAATCTCTATTTAGATCTGCGGCAGCCTCCGCCGCCCGAGTCGCCTTGATTGGATTCGTCTTTGAGTGTTGCTGGAGCAATGCTTACAGAAATGGGCGTGGCGACGGGATTCATCATTTGCATTTGCAGTAGCTGGCACAATAGGAAGTCGTTATTGGAGCTCTCCTATCGGAAAGGAGAGAAGATAATTGGGCAGCCCATATCCATATCCTTTTGAACTCTGGAGTCAGGGAAGGTGGTGCAAATTTCCACCCAACATTTATTGCAGCCAACATCGATGGATTTTCATCCTGCCGTTCATGCCTCTAGCCGGCCAACTATGTGAATATCAAGAGTGCTCTTGCGGCCGGGCCGCGCCGGGCCGGGCCTCGTCTCCCCTCCCCTCCCGCCCTTATCCCATCTTGTGCCCAGGCATGAGAACAAAGAGCTCAGCGTGGGCAAGGAGTGATGAGGAAGTCTCTTTTGGTTATTCTCCTTAGGCTTATGTAGTTACCTGACATCGTCAACCCTCTGACTGTGCTTTTATGTTCGCGTTTGTGCTATGGCAGGAGAGCAAGAGCTCATGTTATGTGTGCTCACACACACAAGTGACGTGTTCTTTTTGGGCTGTGTGTGTGTGTGTGTGTGTGTGTGTGTGTGTGTGCGTGTTACGATGTGTGTGCATGTGCGTGCGTGCACAATATGAGCATGGGTGGGTAGGTGGCAGATACGAGAACAGACCACGGTAAGCGGTTTGTGGCGGGGCTCTTTCTACGTGGGGTGGGTTAGTGAGACAACATAGTAGCGAAGTAGGTGATAGAGATAGGGTTAGGGGATGGAGGAGGTGGTATAACCCAGTCGATGCTGCCATTGGAGAACAACCCTCTGCGGTTGGTTTCCATGTGTTTCATAGTGCCAGTCAGTGTTGGTGAGGGGTTCTGTACATGAATATGTGACATATTAAGTTCTTTTTTTCCACGACATGCTCACTGCTTTGTTTATCACAACGAGTGTTAACAGCCACAACGTTTCCCTACATTTCCTTTGTTGGATGCATGTGATTCCAACGTGTGGCCTACATAATAAGAGAATGTTCTCCTCTCTTCTTATTATGTACTTATGTATGTCTGTGCAGAATGCCGTTGACTCTGCACTGAGTCTGCAGCGATGCTGCGCTGTGTGTTGGTGCTCCTGAACGCCGTCGCCCCCTTCGTTGTGCCTTTCCAGCTTCCTTTCCTCTCTTTCCTGTGTGCATTTCTTTTTACCAGGGATGCGTTCTATTCGAATACAGATTCCTTGTTCACGCATCCCTTTTTGTGTCCTGCAACGCTAAGTGCGAAGCAGTCCCCAGTCCCAGGTTCCAAGTTCCAATGAAACGTAATTCCACAGAGACACCACTAAGTCCCAGTCGTAACCCAACTGAACAGTACTCGAGAGCCAGTCCCAAGTCGTACGCATTCCTGAAGTAACCTCTCGCCTCCCCCGGGCTACGAACCGGGCCGCTCCGGTCACCTTCTGGCCCGGCTGGGCAAGTGGTCCCGGGCAATTCAGTTTGTCTAGCCTCTCGCCAAATTTTGAGCACCGTTGTTTTGCGACCAGCCTGTACTATTTTGCGCAATAAAGCACCAGTCGGCCGTTGCCCTTCTGGGAAAAAAGGGGAAAAAAAAAAAAGAAGATGGGCTGTTGAAAGTAGCTTCTGCTTATCGAAGTGCTCCTTTGCGTCGGCTAACACCATGGCCGTTTTCCCAATGTGTGGGCCAGCCTGGACCCGCCTTATTTTGCTCAGCTGTTGAAGTCGTCGATCGTGGAAAAACTGTCCGACTTCTGCAGAAGGGTTTCAAGTTCTCTCAACCACGGACCGGCGGACCGGTGGTATAAGCCCTCGTCCTGTCCGGACCCGCCTTGTTTTGTGCAGCAATCTTGCAAGAGGCCCCACCCGGACGAATGTGATGCGTAGTTTGGCTTGTGGGACAGGACAAGCTCGGTACGGACAATACAATTCATCCACGAACATATTCTGCCCTGGAGGTGTAACGTATATCAAATTGGTCGTCAGCCAGCGACATGTGCGTTGCTTGGCGTGACGTGTATCAAATTGGGTTGGGTGTCAGCCAGGGACATTGCTTGGGGCAGAGTTGCCGCCAGACAATAGTCTGCTTTCGCTGGTATCCTACACTTGAGAATTCCTGCTCTGTTCCTCGTTCATCCACTTGGACTATGTATCTGGTCCTCTTCCCCTTCCTCGTTCCACGACTGCACTACGTATCTGGTCCTCTCCCCCTTCCGACTCAATGGAAGGGCCAGGTTAGCGCCGTCTGAAGTGCTTGATAATAGTTGATTTGGATGATGGCAGCCTGGGAGAAAGATCCGTTTCCCTGTCTTCCAGTCTAGAATCAAGTCTACTTCACTTCCCCTGAAGGGCATCCTTTTCCAAATCAGGCACATGTGGTTTTTTCCATGTTTCCATGCAAAGATAGAGGATCAGGTGCAAGCCAAAGGCTGGAGTGCTATCCAGGGGCCAGGGCTCTGCAGCTGGTTCTCTGTTGGCCATATGTAGGATGGGTGTGGGGAAGGAGAGACGGGGGGTGGCGGGAGAGGGGAAGGAGGGGGGGGGGGGGAGAGTGGGGGGTGTAGCCACACAAAGGTTGATGAAAGGAGCAGCAGCCGGCTGCAGGGAAAGGTTTTCTTCTATATATTTGCAGCACATGGTACTTGGATATGTCTGTGGAGGCATACCAAATTGACCTTTTGGATTCCCCTAAATGGTAATTGGATGTTTGTGGAGGCATACCAAATTAGACTTTTGGATGTCGCTAAATGGGATGGGGCTTCTTAAAATGGGTGGGACTGGGACGCAATGTGTAGTAGCATACCAAATTCGACTTTGGATTTCCCTAAATGTTTTTTTTTTTTTTTTTTCAAATGCCGCTGCACTTGTGCATCCTATTGGTGCGTTAGAGTGAAATGTCACAATGGAAGACTTGGGAGTCTTGAAGTGCAGAATTTGCTTGGTCGTGACTGTGAGGGCGAAGATGCTGCAGATGCTGCTCTTCGATATCGCTCGTAAGGTTCATGCTGCAGGCACCCATGTTCTTTGCAGGGTGTTTTAACCTGTCGTTCCACACGTCGGCGAACAATTGAACACAATCCAATTTTCCGAACGGATGCGAAGAACTCTCACAAGCTGATCGATTACCTATCTTGTTCGATCCTCAACATGTCATGTGGCCAAAGTTGAAAAGGACCGTGTTAAAAAAAAAAAAAAAAAAAAAAAAAAAAAAAAAAAAAAAAAACGTGTCACGTAATGTGCCGGGGGTGCAATTGCTGTTACAGGTTGGCCATCTGAGCAGCAGAACTCCTGCATAAGGAAAGCTGCTGCTGTTCTTTTTTTTTTTTTTAAGCAGAACCTTATGACGCTGGGCTCCTTTTCATTCTGGGGAGCGTCAGATGGGTTCCTATTCCACCGACAAGTCAGATTTTGCGTAGTGGAACTCGCCCACGCCCCTTCCCGTAATGGTCGGGAGCACAGGCAGACCTTGATATGGGCTGCATAAGGAGAGCTTTAGTTGGACTGTAGGAGGAAAAAGGTAAAAACTTTTAAAAAGGAGGATGCTAGCAATAGCTGTAGTTCTGCTCCGAGAAAGAGGGATTTGGGGGTTTCACACTGAAGTGATCCTCGTGGAGTATTTTCCTGTGAGCAAGCTCTTATTTGGCCTGTTTTTGCTTTTTTCTTTCTTTTTAATTAAGCGTGGCCTCCTGGCTTTGGCCCCATTTTATTAAGGGGGCCATTACCTTGTTTCACGTTCGAGGCTGTTCTCATCACCGTCTGGAACCCCTTACTGGCGAGACTGCGCGAAGCCCCAACAAGGGGCCCAGCAGGCAGAAGCCCAGAGCTCAAGGCTTGAAATGACCCCCAAGGCTCTGCAGCCGAGTCACAAAAACGAGCTATAATTGCAGTATGGGGCGAGATACAGCAATTGCACTTCGGTCACCCTACCTGGCCAGAAAGCTGGGTTGTATGCATTGCCCGAACTGCAGAAGGCCTACAACAAGGCCAACTGGGTGTATGTCCTGACCACGCTAAAGATACCACAGTTTGGACTCTGGAGCAATTTTTTGCTGCTGGGTGATGGTCCTCTATGCGTATTTCAACACTGTCAGTTTCAATCAACAGGCACATTTCCCCCCCCTCTTCCCCCTCGCCACATCGTTGCGACAGGGTTGCCTCCTCGCCTTGCTGTCGTTTGTGGTCCGGCTAGAAGTGCCGGTGTCCAGATCTCACCGCAACATGAAGTGGTGGTTGCCGCAACTTGCCGGTTCAGCAAACGGAATATAGGGTTAAAGTGCTGGCGGGCGATTAAATGAACATCTCAGAAAATTCATTAGATTCTATGCAAGCTCTCAAATCATGTGTGTCTGAATATGCCTATTGGTCGGACGCCGTTGTGAATTCGACTAAGTCCATTTGCTTTCTTCTGGATGGATACAAGCTGGCCGTAGAATGGGGCATGAATGCCATGAAGCGAATTACCAGTCGCGATTCGTAACGTTACTTGGGGGGTGCAAGTAACTCTCCGTCAATTTGCAGCAAAGAATTATCCAGAGGCCCAAAATGATTTACTGCAGCAAAGAATTATCCAGCGCTCAACCGTTACCAGTCGCGATTCGTAACGTTACTTGGGGGCGCAACTAACGCTCCGTCAATTTGCAGAGGGCCAGAGGCCCAAAACGATTTACGGCAGCAAAGAATTATCCAGCGCTCAACCATTACCAGTCGCGATTCGTGACGTTACTTGGGGGCACAAGTAACGCTCCGTCAATTTGCAGAGGGCCAGAGGCCCAAAACGATTTGCTGCAGCAAAGAATCATCCAGCGCTGAACCGTCTGGGGCCCAGCGCAACAGCTGCCTTTATTTGGATGAATCTTGGCTTGGTCAACAGCTGACTTTATTTAGATGAGCCTTGGTCATGAATGTGGCCCTTTTCTTTGGATGAACATTTATTTGGATGAACCTTGGTCATGAATGTGGCCGTATTCGCTCTGTTGTGGTTTGTGGGTATGGTAAGAGCCCTGGGTAAACAATTGTTGGTCGAGGACCCGAGGTGGTACGTGGTGCTGCAGCCAGATGCGTTTGGAAAACCGTTCGCAAAAGAAGAAGAGGGTCTTATGTCCAAGGTTGTCTGGGACGGGATCTGTTATCTCAGACAAGAGGGTGGCCTGGGATTGCTAGACCCAGCCAAAGAAAATGCTGCACTCCTACGGTAGTCAAACGGATTATTAAGGTTGTGCCTAGTACGACTGAAGGTCATTGGATTTTACTAGAATAGATGTTGGCCCATGATTGGAACCTAGTACCAAACATAAAAGAAGTATGGACTTGGTTGTATGATATAATCTTTTCTGCGTAGGCACATCCCTTCCCCTTTCTGGCATGACAATGATGACATACTGCAGGCCTGGAGGAGGGTAGGGCCTGGTCGTTGGAACCCCCTTCCTCCCGGCCTGCCCGGGAGGAAGTGCTGTTCCATCCCCTATTTGACAACCCCTTCATCTGAGGGCCGGATGGCCGACCGTTCTCGGCAGGAAGCAGCCAGGACGCGCTTGGGAAACAATGGGCAGAAAGTGGTGTAGGTATGGCAGTCGCAGACCTTTGGGATGAGTTGACTGGTCAATAGATGTCTGTACAAGATCTCAAGCTCGAGCAAAGCTGGGAAGACAGGGCCAGGTTGAAGAAAGAGCGACCCTCCTTGAGGGCCGTCGCCACCCCCCCGGAGTGGGCCCAACTTCTGACCCCAGCAGGAGTGCCACCTCCGGGGACTTGGTTTTTGCCGTGCAGCAATTAGATTCACATCCACAATCAGAGAAGTCTGAGGTTTTCTGGAAATTGCTTTCGACAGATACAACTGGAGGTGGCGGTCGTGTTTTTTTTTTTGTTTCTTCGCACCTTCGACTTCTTTTTTTTTTTCTCCGTGCCTGCCACGGCCGAGCTGTCTAGGCCACACCCGTAGCAGGCCCTCCCAGTTTTGGCTCGTTTCCCCAGGGGTGTGGCCTAGGCATCTCGGCCGTGGCCCAGCCACGGGAGTGGCCTAGACATCTCGGTCGTGGCCACGCCCGCGTGGCCAAGACATCTCGGCCATGGCCCAGCCACGGGTGTGGCCTAGACAGCGCGGCCGTGGCATAAGCAGGCACGGAAAAAAAAAAAACTCACAGACAAGGGAAAAAAAAAAAAAAGACATGACCGCCACCTCCCGTTTTTGCCAATCACTGAACCGGTAGGCCGTCATGCTCCCACCTTACTGTTTTTCTTGCAGTTTCGAACTGGTCTTCGCCCGAGCTTGCAGTCGACTGTTATTCCTGGGAATTTGAAACTGTGCAGCAGTCACCCGCGC